AAAATCTTGATGTGCAAGAATCTGCGCCTGATTAATCCTTTCAGGGACAGCGGTTACTGGAGTGGACAGCTATTCACATTAATTAATCTTAATGTCACAGTTGTGCATCAACCACTACAATGGACCCCAATGTGTGTTGCCATCCACTGCCATAATTTTATTTTCAGGCCAAAAGACTACCGGTAATAAAAACACTTGAGAAGAAAAATAATGGTGTAGGCTTTTATTACTCGTGCATGAAAGGGTTAAAGATGGAAATTGCACAGCCATCAGCATGATACATCCTGGTAGTGGCTCATTGGCATGAGACAGAATTTCTCTACAAAATGAGTCATTTCAATCAGAGTATTCAACGTGGATGTGAAGTAAGATATAATCCCTTGTATACACTGACCGAAGCGTCCTTTTGTGAGACACCTCACAACTCTTTTACAGTGTGAAAATGCATATGCCTCCTTTTCAAAAAAAAAAGGGTGAAAACGGTCACATCAAGGTTGGGAATGACCTTTTTTTTTTTCCTTTGGTGGGTGCTGTGTGGGGAAGGTTATGTGAATGTGACTGCATGTACTTTTTATCAATGAATTTACTAATCTTGCTGCGAGGCCTCATTTTAACCCTTGATTAATCTCCAAAACTGTTCGGGAGAGGAATTTGAGAATTCACAATTGAATCAGGTGTAGGATTAACGGATGAATTTCATGCAGTTGATTGAAATGACCAGCAAATGTCCATCCATCCATTTTCTGAGCCACTTATCCTCACAAGAGTCACGGCTTTACACCTATAAAGCCTGAACTAGTTTTTCACCATTTCAAATACCCTTTTATTTATTTATTTATTTTAATCCATTTACTTTTGTATTTATTCATCTGTTTATTTATCCATCAATTTTCCGATCCGCTTTATCCTCACAAGGGGGACGCTGTCCCAGCTGTCTTTGGGGCAGTAGGCGGGGGACGCCCTGAACTGGTTGGCAGCCAATCGCAGGGCACACATAAACTAACAACCATCGGCGCTCCCACTCACACCTAGGGACAATTTGGAGTGTTCAATCAGCCTGCCATGCATGTTTTTGGAATGTGGGAGGAAACCGGAGTACCCGGAGAAAACCTACGCAGGCACGGGGAGAACATGCAAATTCCACACAGGAAGGCCGGAGCTGGAATCGAACCCTGCACCTCTGCACTGTGAGGTCAACGCACTGACCACTCAATCTCTGGGCTGCCCTGTGATTCAACAGAATTATATTAAAAACAAAACAAAACAAAAAAAAAACCTCATGAAACAGGCCTAGACCAAAATAATGATACTACCCTGAACTTAATATTTTTTGCACAACCTTTTGAGGCAATTTCTGCAATTGAATTAATTTTTGTAACTTTCAATGAGAGTTCTGTAGCTCACAGCAGCTATTTTGGCTCACTCTTGTGATTCAGTTATCTCAGGTGTGAAAAGTTCTGTCTCCAGATGGCATATTTCAGTTTCCTCCACCGATTTTAAATCTAAGAAGGCCACTTCAGAAAAGGTTCAGTGTTTTGCTCCGAGCCATTTTGGGTTTTTTAGCTGAATCTTTTTGGGTCATTATCATATTGCAAGACCTGTGACTGAGACAAAGCTTTCTGACACTGGGCAGCACATTTCTCTCTAGAGAACTGTACCTTGATATTTGAGATTTTATTGTACCCCTTTTACTGTACAGATTCAAGACACCTTGTGCCAGATGTAGCAATTAAAGTAGCCCCATACAGAGCCGTTTCCATCCAATGTGTGTTGCCATCCACTGCCATAATTTTATTTTCAGGCCAAAAGACTACCGGTAATAAAAACACTTGAGAAGAAAAATAATGGTGTAGGCTTTTATTACTCGTGCATGAAAGGGTTAAAGATGGAAATTGCACAGCCATCAGCATGATACATCCTGGTAGTGGCTCATTGGCATGAGACAGAATTTCTCTACAAAATGAGTCATTTCAATCAGAGTATTCAACGTGGATGTGAAGTAAGATATAATCCCTTGTATACACTGACCGAAGCGTCCTTTTGTGAGACACCTCACAACTCTTTTACAGTGTGAAAATGCATATGCCTCCTTTTCAAAAAAAAAAGGGTGAAAACGGTCACATCAAGGTTGGGAATGACCTTTTTTTTTTTCCTTTGGTGGGTGCTGTGTGGGGAAGGTTATGTGAATGTGACTGCATGTACTTTTTATCAATGAATTTACTAATCTTGCTGCGAGGCCTCATTTTAACCCTTGATTAATCTCCAAAACTGTTCGGGAGAGGAATTTGAGAATTCACAATTGAATCAGGTGTAGGATTAACGGATGAATTTCATGCAGTTGATTGAAATGACCAGCAAATGTCCATCCATCCATTTTCTGAGCCACTTATCCTCACAAGAGTCACGGCTTTACACCTATAAAGCCTGAACTAGTTTTTCACCATTTCAAATACCCTTTTATTTATTTATTTATTTTAATCCATTTACTTTTGTATTTATTCATCTGTTTATTTATCCATCAATTTTCCGATCCGCTTTATCCTCACAAGGGGGACGCTGTCCCAGCTGTCTTTGGGGCAGTAGGCGGGGGACGCCCTGAACTGGTTGGCAGCCAATCGCAGGGCACACATAAACTAACAACCATCGGCGCTCCCACTCACACCTAGGGACAATTTGGAGTGTTCAATCAGCCTGCCATGCATGTTTTTGGAATGTGGGAGGAAACCGGAGTACCCGGAGAAAACCTACGCAGGCACGGGGAGAACATGCAAATTCCACACAGGAAGGCCGGAGCTGGAATCGAACCCTGCACCTCTGCACTGTGAGGTCAACGCACTGACCACTCAATCTCTGGGCTGCCCTGTGATTCAACAGAATTATATTAAAAACAAAACAAAACAAAAAAAAAACCTCATGAAACAGGCCTAGACCAAAATAATGATACTACCCTGAACTTAATATTTTTTGCACAACCTTTTGAGGCAATTTCTGCAATTGAATTAATTTTTGTAACTTTCAATGAGAGTTCTGTAGCTCACAGCAGCTATTTTGGCTCACTCTTGTGATTCAGTTATCTCAGGTGTGAAAAGTTCTGTCTCCAGATGGCATATTTCAGTTTCCTCCACCGATTTTAAATCTAAGAAGGCCACTTCAGAAAAGGTTCAGTGTTTTGCTCCGAGCCATTTTGGGTTTTTTAGCTGAATCTTTTTGGGTCATTATCATATTGCAAGACCTGTGACTGAGACAAAGCTTTCTGACACTGGGCAGCACATTTCTCTCTAGAGAACTGTACCTTGATATTTGAGATTTTATTGTACCCCTTTTACTGTACAGATTCAAGACACCTTGTGCCAGATGTAGCAATTAAAGTAGCCCCATACAGAGCCGTTTCCATGTTTCACAATGTCTATGATTCTCAGGTCGTAAAATGAAGTGGGTATGAATATTTTTTTTCAAGGGACTGGATTTGAACCTGCTGATGTCTCTATAGTCACATTAATCTCTTGATGCAGCGATAGCATAGCACCAGTGTTACTTCCAAAATGTAATATCCTCATAACTCCTGAGTTACAAGGTGCGGCCTCGCAAAAAAAAAAAGTCTGTGAAATTAAATTAGGGAATATTTTATACTATTTCAATGATAAAAATAAGGGTGCACTTCAGGAATGAGCTCTAATCACAACCAGACAGGGCATGTTGTGCAATCAAGTATTTTGGAACCTGAGGGTATATCCATCCATCCCCTATTTTCTAATCTGCTTTTCCTCACAAGGGTCGCAGGCATGATGATTTTGGGCAGTAGGTGGGGTACACCCTGAACTGGTTGACAGCCAATCGCAGGGCACACACAGAAACCAAAAAACATCCGCGCTCACACTCGCAACTAAGGACAACTTTCATTGTTCCATAACTGACAGCATAAATAATGACTTACATAAAATGTTTCAAAATATGGTTTATTTCATTCCCACAGAGACCAAGAGAGTGTGCCAACAACGTAACTTAATATTTCCGTGAGCTGGCACAACTTCAAAATATATTTGCATTACATGATTCCATCCGCCGGTTGTAATTTACATCCACAAAGTTTGACAATGCAACAGCACACAATAACCAACCACGGGTCATCCAATTCACTGATTGTCTGATGAGCTCCTGTTTTTTGTCTTCTGAGCTCTGCCGCAAAAAGAAAGAACAATTGTTTGTCAGGATCCTTGTCTTACAAAATCCATCCATCCATCCATTCATACGTTGTCTGACACCGCTGAAACTCACAACGGTCGCAGGCGTGCTGGATACTATCCCTAGCTGTGTGCTCACATTCACACCTAGGGACAATTTAGAGTTTTCCATTTACCTGCCATAGATGTTTTTGAAATGTGGGAGGAAACCGGAGTACCCAGAGAAATCCCACACAGGCACGGGGAGAACATGCAACCTTCACACAGGGAGGCCGGAGCCGGAGTCGGACCCTGCACCTCTGCACTGTGAGGCCGACGCGC